TGCTTCATTCTATCTCTATTCTCCCACTCTGCAGAATCTTGAGGGCTATAGAAAAACAATATCCGCTATAGATTTGATAAAATATATTTTTAGAAAAACACAGCATATTGTATAACTGTAGTCCAACTCAACTTTCGAGCAGTCTAGATGTGAAAGCTGACCTTTGACTGCTCTCACTGTGTGGAAACCGCCACTGGCTGTTTTGTAGGTCTTGCCTGTGGGGTTTACATAGTATTATTATCTATATCCACCGCCCTTGCTGCGAACTCTGCGTTCAGTGTGAATGCCTCTTAAAACGGTCTGGCTTTGTTTGACATTTCAGAAGCTACTAAAGAATGTGGTGTGATTTTTTTTATATTTCTTTCAGACTGAGGTAGAAATAGACTGTGGAAGGAAAAGATTGAAGTCAACATGTTTTCTGGAGAATGCAGACATCCCAAGTCTCCCGGAAGTTCTGGGAATCTCCCTGATATAGTTGGTCATGGATGCCTGCGAGTCGGATTAATTATCCGTATTTTTGTTTTTTTGTCTGTTTCATGCATATAAATAGCTTTATTATAATTATGCAGGGAGTTTTACAGATTATATGGACATTGCAATGTAGGTAGAACAGAAGAGGAAAAACAGAAAAAAGGAGAAAAGATTAAAGAAAGAGGAGATAAAAGGGAGATAATGATAAAACATTTTCACTCTGCTTCATCACCTGCAAAGAGATGTAAAAAGAACAGAACAACCAACAGACATGGTACGAGACATACAATAAAGTAACACCTAGATACTATCACTGAAGTATAAGTGATATTATTTGATCTGACATGTACTCTGTGTTACCTGAAGATATGAATGTGAGCTTTCTGTATGGAAGTGGATCTCTAAGTACCTGGAGCCAAACACCTGTAGTTGTTTGTGAGGGTGAACGTGTGCATGGGAAGTTTATCCGAAGGAAAAATGCTCAATAGTGGTTGTGGAGAGCCGAAGAGGCTTAAGGAGGAAGATGACATAACGTCTGATTTTGGAAACAAAAAATAAATGAACCTGTTATTTTAGATTCTGGAGGTAGCACACGCATGTGAATGCATTTAGCAGAATTCAAATTAGCGATTTTAATCNCTTAAGGAGGAAGATGACATAACGTCTGATTTTGGAAACAAAAAATAAATGAACCTGTTATTTTAGATTCTGGAGGTAGCACACGCATGTGAATGCATTTTGCAGAATTCAAATTAGCGATTTTAATCTTAATTTCAAATCTGCAGTGAGATTAACCTAGATTTAAAAAATTAATCTATGCCCAGCGCTAATTTTAATCCAACAAAATAAGGCACTTGCCTTGAATAGCTAGCCCTCGGTTTCAGATCTTTACTGTGGGGGCGGGGCCACCAGATATCAGCCCCAGCTTTCATGGATCATCGGGTGCAAGAGGCTGATGAATAAAATAATTGAACTGGTTTCATCTTATAGATGGCAGGAGCTCATGCTGTGTTCAGCACATCATTGGATCGGATGTTTTAAGTTAAGGAAGTCTCTGTATATTTTCCTCATTAGACGTCTTATTGACATGTTGTGATAGATGCTGGGGACGATTCTCATCCAGTTTATAGTCATTCCAAAGAAGTTAAAAATAACAATCCACTGGACTTTGTTTCCAAGTTTGTGATAAAGAGAGACAATCATATGGGATCATTATAGCTGCTCAGGAAGGGAAAGAATTATAGTCTGTTGTTTAAAATAAAACATTGAAACCTAATTCTTACCCAATTTTAAATGATATCTCTTCATAGGTCTGTGAGCGCATTATGTGCCATGCCCCCCCAAACACCCGGTCAACACCACTCAGCTGGAAGGAGACTTGTTACCACAACAGAAGAAGAAGTTCCCATATGCAGCGCTGGATCCCACCCTGGAAACCTATCCGTCACTGGAGGAGGACTTAAAACTGAGCTTTACCTGATCTGCAGTAACCAGGAGTTCCAGAGTTGCAGCGCTGCGCTGGCTCTCTTTCAGGTTCTGATGGAAACACATTTTCAGAAACTGCAAGTCTATTTAACACCAATGACGACGTCGGAATGAGAGATGTGCTTCTCAACTTTAGGAGGATAAAAACATCCATAAGAAATACCGTAGAACAAGACCTTAGCGCTGTGGCTATAATCTCCATAGAGAAAAGTCTAAGAAGGGAAATCCCTGATTTCAACAGCAGAGTCATTGAGAATTTGCCAATCAGTAAGACTAGGAACCATCTATCCATTCAGTCATCATATTTCTTCACCCTGGAAACATCAGCAATCCCTTCTTCCTTTCACTCACATGCACAGTTGTATTGATGTTCTGTGAGCTTAAAACAAGGTTTTTATCCTAGCTAATTTTGATTAGCCTCGTGAGACCATCCTGATCTCGCGAGC